CAGCAACCGAAAAATTTTCGTGTTTGAAGTTTTTTAGGCGAACAACTCGTCGGTCAGCTGTGCTCTGTGCTAACGTGTGTAGTCGATACCAAGTAAGTTACAAATACTCATCATTTTGACTTTATTAACTTCTACGTATATTAATCTGGATATCAAGTAGTTTTACGTGAATTTCAGTTAATTTTCTCAGGTGTTGCTTTTGACGAAACTGTCATTACCTGTTTGCTTTAAGTTCAGGATCTTTAGTAACCCAACTAGGAAAGACCAGTGTTCAAGTGCTACTGTGAATGTCTTGAGCAAAAATTGAGATATGCAAAATACTACGGGTTAAGTTTCGCCTGCTATTACAGTCAGTTTCGAATTGTGTTATAGTTTACATTGATCTATCCAGGTGTAATGTGCGGTTAATTAATGACTTCGATAGCCGCGTATTCATAAAGATGGATAATGTCACATTGGGAGTGGCGGGCTGGAACTCTTCTTGAAACGGACCCGATCGTGTGTAAAACCTATAAAATTCGTTTTTATGACTTCCTTTCGGTAAGCAATTAACTTTCGAGGACCTGTGTGCCGAGTTAGGTCGACAACCACCATCGGTTGAAAGGGCCGCGACAGAAATCTCAAGTGTTTATTTTTCGATGAGTGCACTAAAGTCCTGAATAGCAAGACGAAAGGCTGTGTCTACTCGAATTATTGCTTGCTTAGGTGCTTGAGAAATGGTGCGTTTAGATACATGAATGTCTTGAAAGGCAATGGTGTCAATTAAACTACCCGCTGCCATTTGAAATTGATTAGGTCACTCTCCGCTCCATCAAGAAAATTTGACATCACTCCTAAATGCAATAAATTATTTCGGACAGAACGGAACATTTAAACGTGAAGCGTCTTCATTATTTGCAATAACATTTTCATTGTTGCCAGGGGTGAGGCATTTTGGCCAAATTGTATGACCAATGACTAACGAATAGAAAATTTAACACACAACAATATGATCGTCATCAGTTTTGCATGGTACAATTGTCAAAACTGAAGTCTTACACCTTTGGATATGTGCGCTAATTCGACAAGCACTGGATTCATTCACTATTTAGTGTCAGCTGAAGGGTGCAATTGGTAGTGTACCAAAAGGACGTCAAAATTCAGTGCCATAGATCATTCATAACCTTGGTAAAGGGAACCAATTATCAGTAAGATATACGTAATACCCAGAATTTACCGCCTCAGAAAATAATGTTTATTTACTCAAATTGGAAAAACCGCAGATTTTGGGGAAAGCAGATGAAAGCCCTTGGGTAACCCAATTGTAGAAACATAATTAGTATTAATTCCATGCAAGGATAAGCCCAATGGTAGAATCACCTGGCCAATTAAGTGTTCTTCTAGCAGGTAGCAGTCGTGACTCGTCGAATTCAGTCTCTCCCCTAAGCAATTAGTCACAAATTGGAAAAAATTTAATAGCACAGAGAGGCGCAATTTGGGTCAGCCGCTGGATTAAGCTGGTCACTAAGGTGGCTGGACGCAGTGATGCAGCGGTACACGTCATTCATGTACCCACACCGATACGTGATGGTGGAAATTAGGCCTCCCACCAAAACCACGCCTGCGTTAAGTAGCATGGAAGTGTAATCACCAAGGCAGGAAGACGCTACTTACTATGGTTTCTGTTTGGCAAGTTCCTAGCCGCTCAGCCACGACTAAAAACCCGGTCCAAATGACTCATGCAGTAAGCGAA